TCACCGATTGTCGGGCCAGAATCCCCCTTAATGATGCCCCATGCAACTTGACGGACTTACACACGCTGCGAGACACCAACATTTGCCCCGCAATCAAAGCCTGTGGCAGAGGACACAGCATGGCTCTCTCTGCTTGGCTCCGGGGGTGTTCCAGGCGCACGGCACCGTGGGCACGCGGGAGGCGAAGAGAAACTGTTACCTCAGCAGCAAAGTCCTTTTCCAGCTCGTCGTAAGCCGTGTAGGTTTTGTTTCCTCCCCATTTTGCGTCTCTCAGTATCACAAACTCTGTGCCACAGGGAGGGTTTAGAGGGTCAGGTTAACAGCGATAAATGCAAATCCCCCCCCCCATCCTTCCACAAACAACCGACGAGCGGCGTATCAGCTGAGACCAGAAATCACGTCATCACTGGGAGCAGATGGTGCCTGGCTCTGGAAGTGGAGAGGCAGCGCCTGATTCTGGAGCCTACGCCAGCGTTCCTCTAACCTTTTCCATCCACGTGCAGAATCATTTGTTTTATGTGCACTGAGGCGTGTGTGGGTGTGCCCCACCAGTTTTATGTGCACTGAGGCGTGTGTGGGTGTCCCTAGTCTCTGCCAGAAGCTGGGAAGGGGTGACAAGGGGATTCCTTGTTCTGGTCACTGCCTCTGGGGCACCTGGCATTGGCCACTGTCGGCCGACAGGCTGGATGGACCTTGGGCCTGGCTGTTCTGATGTCAAACACAGACTGAGCGGTGGGCGCTCTGCTGATCAGCTGGGCAGCATGGGAATCTCTTCTGAGTGGCCGCACAAGCACCCAGCTTACGGGGACCACTGGCGGGTGCCTCGTGCGAACGTGCAGAGCACAACACACTCGCTTTCACGCCTCTCGCCGACATTTAAGCAGCCGCGGGCCAGCAAGGGCTCTTGATGAAAGCTCCACCCCCACCTCCCAGGCCTGGAGACAGTCACCTGACTTGAGCGGGAAGAGGACGTGTTTGATGAAGGACAGGACGCCGTTGTTCTCCACGTTCCCCGGCTCACAAAACGCCTTCTTCAGCTTCTTCTTCACATCCTCCTTCCGGTCCAGAAGGTCGATCTTGGATTCCTAGGAGGTGGGGGGAGACCTGTGAGCTGAAGCAGAAGGGAGCAGCGCGGTCCCTCGGGATCCTGCACTAACGTAGCCTCACCGTGGACACAGAGGAGTTTTACTGTAGCTCAGTCGGAGGGTGCAGCCGAGCTACCTGCGATGAAATCCAAAGGCAGCTGTCTCTGTTCTGGGGCGCTCAGCATCTTTTCCGGTCTCTGCCCCAGGAGAGGCGAGGAGCACTGGAGCTGGTGCTTCCCCTCTCAAACCACCACTAGCAGTAAGGAGAGAGAGGGGCACCCAGGACTTAGCCTACCGCCTCGAAGGGGGGAACTGCTCACCCTGCAGGGTGGCTGCTTAGACTGACTGGAGGAGAGTCACAGTTCATCAGCCTACAAGCTGAGTGACTGGGCAACAAAATGGCAAATGAAATTTAATGTGGCTAAGTCTAAAGTAATGCACATTGGAAAAAATAAGCCCAACTATACATAGAATATGATGGGGGCTAATTTAGCTACAACTCATCAGGAAAGAGATCTTGGAGTCACCGTGGATAGTTCTCTGAAAAGGTCCACGCAGTGTGCAGGGGCAGTCAAAAAAGCAAATAGGATGCTAGGAATTATTAAAAAAGGGACAGAAAATAAGATGAAGAATATGTTACTGCCCCATATAAAACTATAGTACGCCCGCACCTCGAATACTGCGTTCAGATGTGGGCTCATCACCTCAAAAAAGATATTTTGACATTAGAAAAGGTTCAGAAAAGAGCAACTAAAATGATTAGAAGTTTGGAACAGGTCCCATATGAGGAGAGGTTAAAGCGACTGGGACTTTTCAGTTTAGAAAAGAGGAGACTAAGGGGGAATATGACAGAGGTCTATAAAATCATGAGTGGTGTGGAAAGGGCGGATAAAGAAAAGTTATTTACTTGTTCCCATAATAGAAGAACTAGAGGACACTAAATGAAATTAATGGGTAGCAGGTTTAAAACTAATAAAAGAAAGTTCTTCACACAGCGCACAGTCAACCTGTGGAACTCCTTGCCAGAGGAGGCTGTGAAGGCTAGGACTAAAACGGAGTTTAAAGAAGAGCTAGATACATTCATGGAGGTTAGGTCCATAAAAGGCTATTAGCCGGGGGTAAGGAATGGTGCCCCGGCCTCTTTGTCAGAGGCTGGAGAGGGATGGCAGGAGACAAATGGCTTGATCATTGTCTTCGGTCCACCCCCTCTGGGGCACCTGGCACTGGCCACTGTGGGCAGACAGGACACTGGGCTAGATGGACCTTTGGTCTGATGTGGCCGTTCTTATGTACCTCTTCTGAAGAGCTCATCTTGCTGCCAGTCAGCCCTGGGACCATTGGGTTCATCAGATGGAGGCGCTTGGTGTAGCCCAAGGAGGGCAGGTACTAGGGAAGGAAAACAGAGTTAAGCAGCCTTTAAGCAGCCCATCTGAAGAGCAGCTTTCACCCTCACTGCCCAGCGTGCTCTCTCCTGGTGGTGGAGCTCCAATGCAGGGCAACTAGCTCAAACCATGTTGCTGAACCCCAGGAGGAGGCTCTGTTCTCTTGTCAGACCAGACCCACGCCCGGCAAACAGCAGGGTGCAGCGAGCCACAGGCTCAGGAGCGGTGTAAGGCGGGCTGCGGCAGCTGGCGCCCCAGGCAGAACGCGCAATCGGCGCCCCCGCCTTCAGGGCTGTCAATGGACTGATGTCATCATCGGGCGCCCCATGACATCATCATCAGGCGCCCTAGGCAGCGGCTGAGTCCGCCTATAGTCACGGGCCGCCCCCACACAGGCTGGTGCCGAGACAGGAAGGAAAGCAGCATTACTGTCACCCCTGGGTGGGACAGGGCTCCAGCAGCAAACACCGACCGAGCCTCCTGGCAGGGAATCCCGGCAAACGTCAGCTGCCTCAGCGCACTATAGGGTGAGGTGTTGACAGAGGTTTGGCTGCGGGTGTGTCCCCTCTGTGTGCTGCCCAGCCCTGCGCAAACAGCTGGCAGGGCAGATTGTGAGCAAACTGCCCAAGGACCACACGATTCATGAAGGGATGAAGGCACAAAGCCACGTTCAGTGTTGACAAAGCCCAGAAATAGCACCTGGCAGACTCTACAGCAGTGGTCACCAACCAGTCGATCAGGATCTACCGGTCGATCTTGGAGCCTCTGACAGGTGATCCTGACTGGTTTGGCCAGGAAGCTACCAAGTGCTGGCACTTCAGTTGCCCCTCCACCCACTGTCCTGCTGCTCCTGCCCTCTGCCTTGGAGCTGCCCCCCGGGAGCCTCCTGCTTGCTGTGCAGGGTGTGGGAGGGAGAAGGGGTGCTGAGGTCAGGGTGTCCCTGCTCCCCCGACTCCTGTTCCCCATCTCCACACAGAGAGAAGGGGATGGAGGGAGCTTGGCAATGCAAATCTGTCACTCGCACACTATGTCTGTCACTCTCACAGACACGCACTGTTCTTCCCTCCCGACCCGGACGAGGGGTTGTTACTACTTTTACTGCTTGCAAAGTGGGTCGTCGTTGGGTTCTGACTGGTCTGTGCATTCCATAACTTGCATTTCTCTCCACGCCTTACAGTTAGTTCTAAACTGCCGAACCTGGCACGTCTGAGCAGGGAGTCTCCACGTGCTGTCCTTGCCAGTGGACACCAGGCCTGCAGCCCCCAGTGATCAGTAACAGAGAACCGTGGCCAATAGAGCGGTGGGGTCAGTGTACCTGTGCCATCCTGTGTTGGCTGTTTGGTTGCTCCCAGGGTGGTCAGAGGAGGGAGGGACTCAAGCCCCCAACCCTATGCTCCCCAGGCAAATGCCCTAGGCCACACCAGAGCCCACCCCACCTCCCTACCTTCAGGGTGTCCCCTCTCGCACTGCGAACCCCTTGGCCCAAGACCAGAGCCTGCACCCAACCCTCTGCCCCAGCCTGGTGAAAGGGAGGGAGGATGGGGGAGGGGCCTCAGAGAAGGAGGTGGGGCAAGGGTATTGGGTCTGAGGTAGATCCTGGATTGCACTTGAATTCAAAAAGCGATCTCGTGCTTAAAAAGCCTGGAGACCCCTGGTCTACGAGGATGCTAGGACAGGTCTGCCAGGGACAATGGCCGTAGCTCAGTCAGCAGCAGTCACCTGCCCCTCGGCTGGCCAAAGAGACTCATCTTTATACGCGGATACAAACACATTAGTGCTCCCTACTGCTGTGACCTTGTATGTGCTGGTTTGCTCAGAACATTTCTAGTGTCACCCTGCCTGTTTCTCAGCGTGTTCCTGTTATCCCCGGGCAATGGCTTTGTACCATCTTGGATCCCACATTGGTTTGGTGCTCCTTGGCACCGGGATGTTCTGCGGGAGCGCGCTGTGACTAGCACGTCTGAACGGCTTCGGCCTCCTACCCGGCCTCTGACACTAGAGCTTGTCTCAGGCTCCCTTCTGACTGCAGGCAGCCGCAGGAACCCGAAGACAGGTCTGGCTGACCCCACAGCCGCCCTGTATAACACAACGCTGGCCACCCCCCTGCAGGCAGAGTTCAAAGGCCGAGCCCTGGACCAGCCGCCTGGGGAGCCTCTCACGTTTCTGGAAGTTCAACCCTCCGGCCCCGTTCTAACCTTTTCCGCAAAGGTGAAAATCTTCCTCTGATCCACTCCTCCAAACTGAGCATCAACCTTCAAGTACTCCTCGTCCAGGGCCTGCGGGGAGAACCCCCACAAGCGTGAGGCTGCAGCACAGGGAACTCACACCCCTGCTGACTTTTGGCATTCCCAGCTCTCTGGGCTGGGAGTCCCAGCTGAATCCCCCCCACACTGGGGCTACGTAGGGTGTGTAAACTGGTATGAACACCAGTGAAAACAACCAAGCAAACCTCCCCTACATCGGCACCCTGCACTGACACCGGGTGAAGTCGCTGGCATTTGGGCTGCGCATCAGATACTCCTGCTGATTAGGGAGAAAGACGATCTGTCCTAATCAGCAGGCGGGGAAGGAGGATGGCGACTGGCCCGGTCCAGGCATTGTAGTCTTCCAGGGGAAGGGCATGTGTGGCTGCCCCCCTCTCCAAAGGTACCTGCAGTCCTGGGTAGAGCAGACCGCTCAGCAAGGGATACTCCACTTGCTTCACCACCTCTGCTCCAGCTTTCTTGGCATCGTGCTGGGTGACCAGGGAGGAGAGCCTGTAGACGTCCAACGTGTATTCCCTGGGGGGAGAGAGCAGGTTGATACGGCTGCTGAAACCAGACAAATGGAAGCTTCAAGCCTTCCTCTTCTATAGCCACCGCACAAAGGGGGACGCTGGCTGGAGCAGACAGAAATCAGGGGTCTGGGCATCTCCCCGGGGTCTGGGCCTCCCCCCCCCCTCGGCTTTCCTGAGAACAGGCCGATCCCCCAGCTGGCTCAATATCCCACTTGTCCCCCCCACCCTGATTCCTTCCCCTTCCTGGAGCTTGTTAGCACCTGAGCTAGCGGAGGCTCACTCCTTTCACGTCGCTCCTCCCCAATCCAACCCCCCCGGCAGTCCCTGAGAGCCTCTCTCGGCTGCTCCTCCCTGCTTACCTGCTGAGCTGAAAATCGGTGCCGCGGATGAATCTCAGCTTGTCGAGAGGCACGCCGATGCTCTCCAGCATGGCCTTGATCACGTTCTCATAGTATTGGGTGCGCAGCTCCAGCAGCTCCCACGGAGCCTTCATGTTGTCCAGATAGGCATGGAGGTCAGCAAACAGGATCGTCACCTGGCACAGAATGTGGGGGATGAGGGGTCAACATACTAGTGTCACACAGGTAAGAAGTGCTGCAGGCTCCCTTCTGCCACCCAGCCTGGAGCTGAAGGTCTCTCCTGCTTCCTGTCTCTGTGAGTGTGAAGCCCCCCCCACCCTCCACTCCCCTTTGGCCTCCCCAAGGCCTCGGCATCGAGGCTAGAGCTGGTACCTCGCATCCGGCCTTCAGGAAGTCTGCAATCTTGGACATAGGGACGAAGTAGGCGACGTGAGGCTTGCCTGTTGTGGCCGTCCCCCAGTACACCTTCAGATCTCGCTCCTTCAGGATGGCCATCAGCTTATCCTCACCGAGAACCTCCTGCGAGGAGACCAGAGGCTGTACATTACACCGCGCCACACACTCGGCCCGCCTGCTGACCCGGCAGAGCCCCTGGCAGCCGCAGAAGGAACGCAATACGCTGGGCTCGTAACCCCAGGAGAGGAGGGATGGTTAGGGATCAGGTGTGATACCTGGCTCTCTCTGTCCTGGGTTTAGCCTCTCTAGGCCTCAGCTTCCCCATCTCCAGAACAGGGGCACTGATATTAATCTACCCCACTGAAGTGCTCAGTTGGTAAATCCATTAGTGGCCGTGAGGCACCTGATGAGCACTCTGGAAGAGCCAGGAGATAACAAAGAAAAGCCCCAGCAAGGCAGCTCTGTAGTCTCCCCATTCTGCAGCTGGGGAAATGGAGGCACAAAGAGGTGGGCACTTCCTCGAGGCAGGAGCCAAGCCCAGAAGTGCAGTTACAACAGAAACCCCATCAATCACTTAAAGAGGGATGGGGGAGGGGGTACCAGGAGCACTCCAATCCTCTTAGATCAGCTTCCTGGTCAGGAACCCGCTTGGTGTTCGGTGTCCCAACAACCCTGATGCTGCAGGATTTTGGGCTTTGACGGGGGCCCCCAGGCGCTATGCAACACGAGTAACCGCTAGGTAAGCAGAGTGAAGCCTGTATCCTGGGTGTTTCTCGTCTCAGTTATGGTCCAAAGAAGGCCCCGCTCCCAAGGTACCTGCAGGTTCCGGGTGATCAGGTGGCATTTCTCCTTCGGGCTCAGCTTGTCCCCCATCGTGTCAGCCTCGAACCAAGCAAGCCTCCACAAACTGTGATTAAATAGAAGATGCGTCACAAGAGGAAGGGGGGCGGGAAGGGGAAGGACTCAAGAGGCCCAATCACCCAGGGCACACAATTTGCTGGCCCTGTGTAGAGGGGGAGGAGAAGCTGGGCAGGGTTCACCTCCTTGCTGGTCTCCTGGCACAGCTCACCAGAGTACACCCTAACTTCTGATTTATTACTATCAACTTCCCCTTTCTTCTAATTTTTTTCCACCCAGAGTACACCCTAACTTCTGATTTATTACTATCAGCTTCCCCTTTCTTCTAATTTTTTTTCCTTCTGCCTTTACTTCCCCTCTAACCCAGATTTCTGTTTCTTAATGCAAGGTGACCATCTTCTGGATTATGGCTTTTTGGACCTCTCAGGTGTTCTTAAAACAATTCCCAATTATTCTTCACGTTTCTCTCATTAAATTCTTCCTTACAGGTGATTTGGCTCAACATTATTTTCAGCCCTGTGATACTAATCCTATTAAAGTCCCAGATTCGTATCTACATATCACTGGTCTGGACTTTATTCTACTTGCACACTGTATATGCGATCTTAAAATAAGATACCTAACTACCATTACCTTTTAATTCTCTGATCAGGACTAAACATGTTCAGAGCTTTATCTAATAAAGCAAGAGCCAATAAAGAATGCCTCCACACTGGCTGCAACACTGGTTGAGTTATGATGAAATTGTCATAAATTGGCCTCCACACTGGCTGCAACACTGGTTGAGTTATGATGAAATTGTCGTAAATCGTGTTTAGAAATGCCAAGGATGCTTTAATACCAGTAGCAGGAGACCTCCCTCCAAATGTGTCATGCAAACTGAAGTCCCCCATGATCCAACAGCTTTTTCCCCCTTACACATTATAAATATGGGCTTGCCTTCTGCTCAAGATATTTGCTGAGCTGAAGCAAATACCAACCAACATCCTGCTTTGTGGGTTATCTGATAGGACAACAATCCAGAAGTATTCGAGATAATTTCCTTGAGTTTTCAGGGGCACAGAACCAGCAGATGCGGGTTCCAACAGAACGCCACTCCCCTTCCAGTCCCCAGCTAGGTTCCTCCCATCGATAAGTAAACATTCCAGTAGCGGGAACCCCCCCGCCCCCCCCAGGAACGAGGAATTCATGTTCCTAGGTCAGCTAGCTAGTCCAATTCCTCTGGTTTGTCACCCAGGCTCCTAAGGGGGCGGGAGGGGCAACTATTGCTTCTCTCCCTATTTGGCTCCTTGCTTTATTGTAGTGTCACCAGCACAAAACC